CCGCTTGTCCGCAGGTGCGCGCCCGGCGCCGCCCGCAGCACCCCCGGCTCGCTCGCTCCCTCTCGCTCCCTCGCTCGCACGCTCGGGCGGGCGGTATTAGAAGAGTGACCTTGGCTTAGCCCGGAATAGAAGCGAGTAAGCCGCCGGGGGGCCTCGCGCCCGGGCTCGCCGGCCTCGGGAAATTTCGCCCGGGGTGGGCGCGGCTTCCCCGGCCCTCCTCGGGGTGGGGGGGGAGTAAGGAGATGCTCGCCCAACCTGGGGGCGCCGCGGCCCCTCCACCCCCCACCCAACCCCACCTCCTGACCCCACGGCCGCCCAGGGGCGCGCCAGGGAGAAGGGGGAGCGCGCGGAAGCCCCGACTTGAGGTCTGCCCGAGAAGGAGCCGTCGCGGCCGCCCGGCGGTGACCTTTCCTACGTGACAAACTAACCTGACCCCGGAGGGCCTGCGCCATCCTCTCCTCCCCTTTCCCTCACCGCCCAGGCCCTTTGCCTGATGATGACACCCTACTCGGGGAGAAAATAAGTTCACGGGAATTTTAAGGATGGTAATTCTTCCTTGAAGCAATACACGCTCTAGTAGGAATATATTTCATAAAGATGCATAGCAATAGTGTTTGATTTTAAGACGCTTCCTATTTTACGTAAATTCTGGGAAATAAAGTCATCCAATAGGAATGGCATTATGGTTCAGCTCATTCAGAAAAACTGGAAATTACTCCTTCTATTTCCTGGGAAGTGTTTAATTAATCACGACACTAACATTTTAAGGATTCACTACTTACTTGATCCTTCAAAGAATGCTTTTTCATATAGATCTATTTAACGCTCACTGATTTTTACAGATGGGCTTTTTCTACCTCCAGTTGCACGTAAGATTCAACCTCATGTCTGTAGTGTTTATTTATAATAAATTATCACGAGAAATCTTGAATTACATACATTTGCTATTTTTAGCGGAACTTAACAATGAATTAATAACCGAGCGAGAATTTTGAATAGCTGGGTTCCAGCCACAGCTACTCGTGAATGAATGAAGTTATATAAACTGCTGGGTTTTCCTTTCTAGATCTGTTTGTGAGCGGGAGTCCCCAGGGTAATCCCAGGTGCCACTTTGGAAAGTTACTTGTTCTTCCTGCTCTGGAACCCCTCCCTCCCGGTGATGAAGTAAATAGACTCTGGGGCCTTAGCACTGTCCCCGGTCAGTGCATTGGCTTGTGTTTCAGATGCCTCATGCAACTGGCTTTTTAATTACTTTATCCATCTGTAGGAACCTCCCAAATGCCTGGCCACTGAGAGAGAAAGCTGAAGAACCACCGCTCTAGCCCCATGAAAGGGTCCAAGGACCGCTTGAACACAGGTAAACCCTGCCCTCTCTCATGTGGCAAGCACTCTGTCTGCTGAGACCTAAAGCACTATCCTCCACGTGTCTGAATGAGGGAAGTTATCTTCAGTTAGGCGAGCTTGCCACACTCTGAGCGTTGATGGTTGCTGATAAAGGTGACCCAGAGCAGAGCCAGCCCATCAGGTTCACTGGGGAAGAAGAATTCCTAATGCGTAAAACCATGGCCCGTGTTTCTGGCTGCTGATATAAGTGCCCTACACTCTGCTCTTCTTTGTGGAAATTAATTATCATAATCATTGACCCAGTGCACACTAATGTGACTCCCATTTTCATTAGGGGAAACTGAGGCATACAGAAAAGCTGAGTAATTTGTTCCTGGTTACACAGCTAATGAGCCTGGCCGTTCAATAGCACACTCCCTTGAGCAAAATTCTATACTCTCTTCATATGATTGAATTGTGTCACGTACCCTGTATCTTCCTGTTTGAACAAATTTCTCATTTTGGAACAAAGGAAAAATGAAACCTTCGGTTAGAAAACTTGTATCCCTGGGTTCTATAGAGAGAGCTCAGTATTAATGAGCACTTACTGCTGTTTCAGGGAACATGGGTTCAATTCTCAACACCCACATAGTAGCTCACGTATATTTCCAGTGATCCAACACCCTCTCCTGACTATTGTGGGGTATCCCCAGAGAAGACCATTCAGATACGGGTGGCAGCCAATAGAAAGCCTTTGTTAGCCCACTGGCAACTCCATGGGGCGTTCATGAACCCCAGTGTAGCCCGAGCCTTTCTCCAGGTGAGCTTTTAAGCACAAAAACAATACCCGGAGTTGACACACTTCAGTTAACAAGAACAGTTAACCAGAATCGGAACTACAGAAGCCAAAAAGCAAGGTTAGTACATTTAGAGACCTTCCGAGAATTATGGATTTGTTGGATTAGGTCTTTGCTTTTGTTTTGACGGGTGATGCGGTCTATGTGCCGAGTTTTCTTTCTCTCTCTCTCTCTCTCTCTCTCTCTCTCTCTCTCTTTCTTTCTTTCTTTTTTTTTTTTGACAGGGTTTCTCTGTGTAGTTTTGAAGCCTGTCCTGGATCTCACTCTGTGCACCAGGCTGGCCTTGAACTCACAGAGATCCGCCTGCCTCTGCCTCCCGAGTGCTGAGATTAAAGGCGTGTGTCACCACCGCCGGCTACATGCTGAGTTTTCTGGCCTTTATTTCCACCATGGAGTCAGTTGTGCTAAGGTCTGGGGGCTCCATGGGCCAGCAGGCATGCAAGTGGTGCATATACATATGTGCAGTCAGAACACTCAAAAAAATTGTAATAATAATTTTTAAGAAAATTTCACAAGATTTCCTCTAGTGCCGGATCTACTAGTGTTTGTAAACCACATATTTCTTCTCACATCTTTTTAGGGCTAGTAGCTCTCCAAACTTTTTCGGGTGGAGAGGAGGGTTCCAACAATTAAAAGTCTTATTTATATTTATTTCATGAATGGGAAAAGCACCACATTTCTTCAGAAAATATTCATTACAGTCCACTAAACTGTAAAAAGGGTAGGCTTGAGATTCGTTTTAATGTTTAATGTTTTAATATAGTTAAGTCACGGTGAGAGAGTTAACAGCTGAGGGACCACAGAGCCTCCTAGAGCTAAATAAACATGGCTGTTCTGTAAACTAGCTGACTATTAACATCCATTTACATCACAGAACACTCTCAGGATTAAAAGCCTTGTTTTGAGTCAGTGGGTTTTCTTTGTCAACCACACTGACATGTTTCTGATTTCCAAGTCTAGCTTTGAAACTGTGCCCTGGGAGAAAGAGAGAGAAAAGAACCTGAAGAGCAGGAAATAGGACCAGTTTGAGAAGCCCAGATACACTTGGTTCTTCAGCTTTGACTAGGTTTCATGAGACTTTAAGGATAAGAGTAAAAGCCCTGTTACACCAAGTTTGGATTTAAGAGGAATAATCTTTGGTACTGTCAATATCGCTGATGAAAGATGAACTACGGTTGCGTCCGTAGTAGACACTGCAACATCCCTTCCCAGTTTGGGTTTTGTTCAGTTGTTTGGTTGTTGACGACACTATTTTGTTCTGTGTGAGGCTGTGTGACTTCCAGGGAAATGCTGACAAACGTCCCTTCACCCCAGCTATGGCACGAACAACGGACCAGAGAAACCAGCCTACCCTGGTCTAGCTTGCAAAGTCAAGTGCTGAGCTGATTGGGGTTACTTACAGGTACATGGGTGACTGTCACACTTCCAGAGCTGCACGCCTGGCCAGAAACCCGTTCCACCCCACAGGCTCCCTCCTCTCCCCCAGCAACTGCTCCTACTGACTTACCTGAAGCCCTAGAGAGAAACTTTTTTGCAAATCTCATCGGCCTCGAAAGTAGATCTCTTTAGCTTCCTGAGTTTTAGGAGCCTCTCTCTTTCCTGCAGAAGAGAGTGTTTGAATTTAGAGGAAATAACTTTGCAAAACGCCCCCGACTCAAACTCTTTTCCTCCCCCAGGCCCATCTTGCAGCTCAGATAGCTACACGGTCATTTTAGCCAGAAGATGCATAGGTTCATAGGTATGGCTTCCAAGACCCGTTTTGTTTTCTGATTAAAAAAAGGGGGGGGGGAGACATACTTTAGCGAGTTGGTGACACACACTTTTAATCCCAGAACTCCGGAATCAGAGGCAGGGAGGTGTCTGTGAGTTCCAAGCCATCCTGGTCTACATAGCAAGCAAACACCAGGCCAGCCGAGGCTACACAGTCTCCACAAACAAAGGAATAGACTCATCTGGCAGTTACCTTGGCTTTTGTAGTCTTTCATTTCGCCTGGGCAGGAAGAGGACTGCTGTCTGGAAGCATGGTGTCAGGTTCAAAATAAACCGGAGGAAAACTAACGGAGGTGCCTATTAGCATACCAAAGCACACGCTGGCATCCAGGCCCCCTCAGCACCAAATACCTGTTAGAGAGTCCAGGCTGGCATCCTGGCTCTCTTCCGCTCTCACCCCGCCCCCTCCCCAAACCTCTACAGCTCACTCGCTTCCCCTCCCCCAGCCTCTCATTCCCATATAACGCGGCCATGGGGGTCATTTCTTCCCTTCTTGTCTTTCTCTCTCTTGCCCCTGTCTCAAAGTTAATACTCAAAGTCACAGCTATTGTCTCCCACAAAGCTAGGAAAAGATACCTATGTAAGTCCACATGTGCTGTTCTTTGATTTTGCTACGATATTCGGTGTTGTGGTTTGAATGTGGAACGTTTGAACATTTGGTCTCTAGTCGGTGGCACTGTTTGGGAGGGCTGTGGAACCTTTGCTGGGAGAAGCGGGTCACTTTTGGAGTTCCGGGCTCTCAAGTTCAAAGACAGGGGATCCCAAAGGCATCTTTTGTCAGGAAGCAGTCTATCTGTTGTACCTGCCAGCAGGCTCTGCTGAATATTCGCTTAGGTAATGGTGCAGAGCTTTTTACACTACTGTGACGTTTTTGTCTCCTGTATATGGTGATTCACATTCTGATTGAGTGCTTTAAACTGCTGGGAGTGAGGCTTACAAAGCTCCAATGTGTTGGGAGAGGAAGGAAGGATTCTGTAGGAGGCACTGACCAGCTGGAGCGACTGTTTCCTGCTTTCCTGGTACCGGATGGGGGCTACCACAGGAGTCAGGCCTTGAAACTTCATTATGAGACCCGTTTCCGGGCCACGCTTTGCTTCCTGAGTGTGGATGTAGAGTAGCGACCCAGCCTACTGCCACCCTGGCTGTCCTGCCTGGGGCCGTGTCTTCCCAACCAGCACGAACTGCATCCTTCGGAACTGTGAACGAGAATAAACCCCCTCCCCCTTAAATTGCTTTTGTCCAGGTGTTTTATCACAGCTGCAGGAAAAGAAACCAAGACAAGTAGGAAACTGCCATTTGCAGAATTAGTGCTCCAGTTGTTAGACACCCCCAACCTCCTGGGATTCTGGGAATTGTAGTTCTAGAAAGATAACACCTGCCCGAGGACTAGGTAGCCTCTTTGGATACTAGGAGTTGTAGTTCTTGGAAAATAACAACAAAGCCTCATGGGAAAGTATAGTGGCCTGTGGGTTTGCCCATATAAGCCCCTGCCAACACGTGTCTCCAGGCCACACAGCTGGAAATTTTCCAGAAGTGGTCCTGACCAAATTCCATCTTTGTCAGTATTTAAAATTTTAAAATTTAAAATTTAAAATTTTTAATAAACGCTTGCTCAAATTTGGCTAAAAGGGTGGAACTGGTTTTTCTGGCGAATTCCAGGATCAACCCAGTACTCACCTAGTATCTGAGGAAGACAAACCTTCCAACTCCTAACTATAAAAAAGAATACACTATCCATAGAGTGCATTGACTGGACACATCTGAAATACTACCTAGCAAGCTCTCTCTTGTTCCCTCTCCCCCACCTGCCCTCTGCCCTATAGATGCTGGAGAGCAAACCCAGGCACCAGGGCAAGGTCCTCACCATGCCAGGTCCTTAACCAACAGAACACACAAGGTAACTGTGGCTGTCATAGTTAGTTTCCTCGTTGCTGTAACTAAGTACTTCCCAAAAGCAACTGAGGAAGAACAGGTTTGTTTCACTCCGTTCCTGGTGGCAGTGCAGTAAAGCCAGCGGGAGCTTCTGGAGGCTGCTCACACTGAAGCCACAGTCAGGAAACACCAGGTGCCCTGCTCACTTCTTCTTATTTTGACTGGGACACCAGCCCACAGAACGGTGTCACCCACGGGGCGGGTCTTCCCATTTCAATTAATCCAGTCTAGAAAGTCACACAGCAATGTCCAGAGATGTGTCTCCTAGGTGATTATAAAGACTTTATTTTACTTTTTATTTGTTTAATTATGTATGGGGGGGGGCATGTGTTGGGGTATAAGTAAGTGCAGGAGTGCCAAGGCCGGAAGAGAGAACCCCATCCTGTGGAGCTGGTGGTGAGCCATCTGCTCAAGTGCTGAGAACTGAACTTGAGTCCTCTGTAAGAGCAGTATGCACTCTAAACCCCTGAACTAG